CTTTGATTCGACAACCTTCGAACTTGTTTATCAGATCAAATATCCGAAAATAGTTCGTTTTTTTTAAATCAGTTTGTCAGGTTTGCAGAAATATATTATGCCCTTATTACTTTTTATATTTTGTATTGGATCTACCACTTTCTGCGTGATTATAAGTAACCTTGGAGCGAGGGGACCGTGAACAGTCTACTGGCGGATGGCTGTTGTTGTCGCTCGGCTTTCTTTTGAACTCGGCTTTCTTCTAAGCTCGGCTTTCTTTCAAGCTCGGCTTTCTTCCAGGCTCGACTTTCTTCTAGGCTCAGCTTTTTATCGCTTGGCTAGCTTCTGAGCGCCTCTCTCTGCTCCTCACTGCGAATGAAAACGGAGGGGATTTTGACTTTTGATTAGGACTGTGTTGATATGCTACGGAAATTAGCGCATAGCTTAGACTGTTCGGGAATTATACCAGTTTTAACACTTAGGGATTTCTGGATGAGCGCAAATTATTGGGCAACAGTAAGTAGTGCACAGCTTCAGCTCGCCAAAAAATGGCAATTGTATGAATGTATTGTGAAAAATGGCTTTATATATGGGGCATGGACATATTTCGTTAGATTTTGATGAATCCAAAAACACATTTAATAGTGGCCTTGGTTGTTTTGGCGAATTTTGAAAATCTGAAAAATCCAGTTTATTGGTTGTGTTTTTTTCAGAGCTGTATTCGGATTGATTGGCAGCCAAAAATCAATCAAATTCTTGTTGGTTTAAGTGATGGTACAGTCAAATTATACTATGATCCGATGAATAGCTCAAGAGGAGCACTGCTGTGTGTTACAAGACCGTTGAGGCGAGCTCGTCAGCAGGAAGTGGTCCGTGAAGAATTGGTTCTATCACGTTAGTTATTTTTCCTGTATTAGAAAGAACTATCAATATTTGGAGAAAAAAAAAAAGAAGCCGAAATAATTTTCTTGCATATTTCAGCATTAACACTGGAAATGTTCCAACCAAGAGGAGAGGAAGGCGAAGAGAAGGAGGTGACAACTTGGCGATTGAAGAAATATCTACGAATGAGGGATAACAAATTGAGGCCTGATTTCCGTAAGCCAGCAGATATGCCGATGAGTGGGCCAAGTTAGTTGCTCTCTTTTATTTTTTTATTGTTTTTGGAGCGTATTTTTCTTTTCTGACCCTTTTTTGATGATTTCTCAAAATATGTGTACACATAAAACCTGGGGTTTTCTGTAGGTTCCGGCGGCCGAGTTGCTGCATCCGGAGGAACGCTGCATTCGTACATCGCAAAGCAAGTGGGGACGAAACGAAATCGAGATTTCCTTGCTGATAAGGATGTGCGTGCATCAATATTACGGCACGCTGAAGAGGTTTGAGTTTGTGCAATTTCAAAAATATTTCGAAATAGAAAGGCATTTTGAAATAGGAAGGAGGGTGGGAGAGAAAAAAATATTAAGAAATTAAGAAATTATTTTAATTAAATTATTATTTTAATAAAATTGGTAAGAAATGTTTCTGGTCCATTAAGTCGTATACATTTCTTACCATTACTACAATTGATCTAATTTCGTGCCGTGTTTGAAATGTCTGATTTTATGCTGTATTTTGATGAAGCAAATCGCTAACCTGTGTTTGTTCCTTAGGCCGAGAAAAATCCGTACTATGTGACGAAGGCATACCTCAAAAGTCAGCCGGTTACAGTTTTTCAAAAGACGACTACAGCACCGGAAGAGGAAGAAGCTGATACCGAGCTGGAACCGTTGTACAAAATTTCAAAACCATCTTGAAGATGCACATGTTGTTATTTTTTCCTCTCATTGTCTCTCTTATCGTGTCCTCATTCGTTTGTCGTTCGAAAAAGTTCAGAATTAGAGAAAACGTTTGTATGACACCCAATTAACTCGGTAAAAAAACTGAACAGGAAGCATTATTATTATTACTTTTTTTTGAGGATATTTGCTGTTCATTTGCGGACTTGCGAACAGTAAAATGAGTTTCTGCACATGCAATGTCCCCACTCATGGATGCTTCAAATGTTTGTTTTTGCAACACTGTCAATGGCCTTTCTCAGTAACCAAACAGGTTAAAAGTAGAAGTTTTTATTGGAATACTGGCATATCCTGTGCAGCACTAAAAAAAT